TTTTTTGGAAAAAAGTAAATAAATCAATCTTACGCTGTAATGGGAAATCATAACAGTAACGCATGAGGCCATGAGGCGCGAGGAGTTTCGGGGGTTGGACTACGAAGCGGTCAGGGGGCGTAGCTCCCAGGTCAATGAATAAAAAAAAACAATATTTCAAGAGCTCTGCAGAGCATATTAATTGAACAATATGCAGCATATTGTTCAATCAGAAGGAAATTTCAAAAATCAAACTCAACAAATTCCGAAAATCGGGTCATCAGATGAGAAATGGGCCTTTGAACGGGGGAAATGCAAAACCTTGAATATGCGTATAGGCTGAAAACAGCATTTCCAAAAGTTCAATGTTTCTACGCCAGGCTTGAGCTTTGAAAGCTATTCTACCACTAAAAATAAGACGAACTTCAAATTGAAATAGTCATTGATACCTGGTGATAAACTGGAAGCTCTCTGTTCGATGTCGATTCATACTTGCTCTCTCTCTCTCCGCCAGTGATCCAAAAAATTAACATATACATAATTTTGGCATTATGAGAAGAGAGTTTCACGTTATCAGAAAAAAAAGTCAAGAACAAAATGTTAACAGATTTTTAGAAGTATATGCGAAATAATAAGGTTGAGGATTTCCTGATTTCTCTTGCATTTCTGGGAGTCACTCATGTTCCCATATTTCACCTACTACTGGTTTACTTCTAAAGAAGGTTTTTTTTTTCATTTTTAAGAACAGATCTAACTTGCGACCTAGGCTTTAATCGTAAAAATCTTCCAGGAAGAAAAAACCGCCTTGTTTTCGAAGGAGGCTTTTCTTTAGAAAATTAGGAACTTGCTTTACCCTCCTCCACCCTCTTTATACCTGAATTTTAAGATAAATCGAATAGAGCCAAAGATCATTTCTTCCTTTGTGTATCTGGACTCAGATGTAAATAGAAAACAATGAAACGACGACGAAGCTTTGATTCCACTTTTTGAAGGCATTTGAAGCATCAGACGCGACCTACAGTGCAGACTGTAACTGGGTCAGAAATTTTGAAATGCGAGAGTTTCTTCTTTATAATGAGTCACTAGTACGCGAGACAACTTTGACGAACTTGGCGGGCATATGACTGGCGCACAACACGACGTCGGTATTCGTGCCGTCACTGAGTCACCACAGTTGCATGGAATGTTGACAAAACAATCATTCATTACCGTAGGAATTTGCACTAATTTTGCAGGCAGCTGTTGAGGTTACCTTCGATTGATAGCCTCACGACAGATGATATATTCGAGAGGTGCTGTATCCGTACGCTCCTAGTCCTAATTTTGGAGAAAATGTTCAATTTAATTGTTTTTCTCCAGGGTGAAATTTCTCCCAGTATTACACGTAACAAAGCGAGCTAGGTACCTTAAAAAATATAGAGCGATTCGGTCAGTATTGAATTCTCACTTTCGGTGACAATATTACATCGGTTATTGTTAACCAACATTTCAGTTGCGTGAATGAGAGAATTTATCGAGAGATCGACTCCGAATTCGAACGTCACCAGAAAGTCGTATCTATAATCGTTCTTTTATACAGCTCATTTCCTAAGAGGCCTCGTATGGTTCTCATTGTGATTAGGCGGGATTCAAAGAGTGCCTCAAAAGGCATTATAAAAAATGGCAAGTTTGTCAATCTCGAACGAATTTCAGCTGTAACTTTGGGAAAAGATCCTCGCAGGGATTTTAATAATTTGCTTCTCGGAAAAATTGAAAGTACAGAAAAAAGAATTCTATGATTTTGACGAACTTTAAAGTAGGTAAGTGCGTACATTAACATTTTCAACACGTGCAAATTATTTTTTCTATATTATTAATTTTTCTTCTACAAACGACTAGGGCACAGCCCTGTTTCTTAGGCCACCCAGTATCGAGCACAATAAACTATAGAAAATACTAAAAATAAAAAAATCACTAAAACTAAAGGACCCGTCGAATCAATAAAAACAGCATAAAATCTTCAATCATCCTCGGGAGAAGAGAGCCAGCTTTGTGGCCATCTCTTGGGCGATCGTACAGGTAATCGTTTCCCTAAGGGTTTAATTTTTCGCGGGTGCGAACTATTTTAGTTCCTTGCGAGGGTTACTCAGCACGGCTCGCGGCAGTCTTGGTGGGAGCCACATCCGAGACCAATGCAGCTGACCCATTGCATTAAAAGCTTTTATCCCCAGCGACTTAGGCAACACGTCCACCGACGAATTATCATTTTGAACTTTTAATTTGTCAATTTGAATTATTTTCATTCTAATTTTTAATCAGATTAACCAGACCAGCATTTATCATAAATCTATGTTTTTACTATTAATTTTACTAATACTAACTTTTGACAGATGAAATTTAATCTATCATCTGAAATTTTATCGTCTGAAATTTAATCTTTTCATCTCTGTCTGAGTTTAAGGTGTATCTACAGTTGCGTGAAGTAAGAAATTTCTCCGCGCAGGGGGCGCCACCGTTGTGTTTTAGAGTCCGTACAGCACCACGTGAGTCCTTGAGCTTTTATAAAAGTTGAAGGAATTTCTGTTTAAATCGAAGATAAATAAGTTCTAGCTATAACATTCTTCTTCCTATTGACCCTAAAAACAACGTGAAAAGTCATTTCTGAAGCTCTGCAATTTGATCCCAGAAAAAAGTAGGGTTAAGCATGATGACCTTGATGCAACCAATCGCGCTTGATCGCTCTCAGCAGTTGGCAGATATCTCTCTCCCACCGTGAGCTGTCTCTCTCGCACTTACAGATATCCCGTAAGAGAAACTGGGATCAATTTACAGCTTTTATTATTAGACTTTCAAAGCTCGCGTTTGTTTCTAAGGATTCCAGACGTATGCTGCTAGAACTTATGAGTCTTAGAATTTAAGATACCTATTGTGATATTTAAATAATCACTGATTTCGGAGTCGGATTTTAGCAGCGCGACGTGGTGGATTTTTTCGGAACTACAGCTGAAGATTAACCTTAAATCTCCTCACTTCGAGTTTTTCACTACTGATGTTGGGAAATAATCGGCGGAATTCTGCGGAGATTGGCAGCGGCGGGAGTGGCTCAAACGGCGGAGACAGCGGTAAGCAACGGAATGCTCGGCGATCGGTCAAACCGTTATGCGGAGATCAGGGCTCAACAACTCGAGGAACCGAGGAGCCTGGAGCCAGAGCCGCAACCCAGGACTGGATCATTGCATCTATTGTTTCACGAGCGGCACAGTTACTCTCTGCTTCATTTGCAACATCCACCGGTGGGCGATACGGCCGTGATACCGAAAAAAGCAGTAAGTGCATGCTGGGATGAACCCTAAGCCACATAAAAGCATGTGCTAACCATGGCTCATACAGAAATGCACTTACTGCTCTCTTCACTATCACAACAGAGTAAGCGCGTGCTTACGGCCACCGCATGAGGTGAATTTTATTTCAAGTTCCGAACCTCTTCGCGAAGTTCTGTCCCGGTTTGTCTCAGGGTCGGACTGGCTCGCATCTGAGGGCGTAGACCCTTGGCTGGTTAAAGGGGCGTAATGTGATACTTCCTAATGGGGCATCCCCTTGGTGGAGAGGGGCTAAGAAAATTTTGGCAAAGCAGCACAAGTTTACGCTATTTTCAGGTTCAAAGTTTATTAATCCGACGGATTCAAATTTGTAAAATTGAACGTATTGAAACGACCGACAGACTTCTGAAATTAAAGAAAACAAAAAAAATTAAAGCCACTAGACGCATCCAAGCTCGATTATTTCCATAAGAACCGTGTCAGTGCTGCGGTTTACACGAGATTAAGACGTGGGTCTAAAAATCCATCCTAAAAAATAATCAGGCAAGAACCTGAAAAAAGAAGAAAGAACGAGTATCAACACAGCCGACGACAAGAAAGACGTATTCGGGCCTCTTTTTTCACTTTTCTCCCGAATCTGAGCGACACCTCATTGGCAGCATGTAGCAGAGCATTGAGAGCTCACGCTTCGCGTCATCGCGCCTTCAATTTTTCAGATGCAGCACGGACGTCAATCAAGTACGAATAGTTGTAACTCTGCGCCGTCGTTGACGCGCATCCTTTCCCTCCCTCTATTTCCATGTTGTGTTTGTTTCCGTTTGTCTTATTTGTGATGTTGCTTCAAACTAGAACAGAGCATCGCGAGTTCACGACTCACGCCTTCGCGTCTTACATTTTTTATATGCAATGTGGACATCCATCTAGCGAGAACAGAGGGGCGCGTTTTTGGCGCGCCACGGGGGCGCATCTGCCAATGGCAGAATGGCCCTAGGGCCAAATCCGAGCCTGGTTTGTCTCATCAGTTACCAACACCAGTGGACACCGTTGTTACCAGATTCAACCAATCAGATCCGTTGGTTTTCGATAGGTCGAACCTTTTTTAGAACCACCGCGAGAGGTGGTACCAAAATCACGCATCAACGTTGCGCCAACGCTTCGTATTGGGGGCGCGATACGATGATGTCTGGACCTTATTTCTGGCACACGTTGACACCAGTGCAACCCCTCCTCGGCGAATGCTGGTCTTTTTTGCACAAGAGACTGCACGGCATCAATGCGGTGGATCTCAATCCGTCACCCTTTCCTCGGGCCTAACAAAGCTCTAAAAAATTCGATGAAATTTTCAAAATCTACTTCGATTTAAACTTACATCCTGCGAAAAAAAAAGAAAGAAAGAAAGAAAGAAAGAAAGATGATAATGAACTAAATGGACCGCGTTAAACAGAAAGGAACCAAGCCACATCAGCTATTGCCAAATTTGACAGGGAGATTACATTTTTTACGAGAGAACGTCTATGCAGATTTCTTTGAAAATTTTAAGGAATTTGCTTTGTATTATGCAGAAAATTCACTGAAATTTCCACAAAAATCTGCACAACCTTTTTCATGTAAAAAAATTAAATTACCCGATTAAATTTGGCAATGGCTGATGTGGCTTGGTTCTTTTCTGTTTAACGCGGTCCAAATTTCTTGATGGATTCGTAGGACGAAAGAAGAACTTACCGACAGAGAGGACGGCGCGACGACGGCGACATGGGACATGGACGAAAGGCTGGAGCATGGAAGCGGAGTCCTAGCGGAGCTCATGAGCTGGAATAATTTTGAGCCGAATGAGAGGAAAGTGAGGGCCGAAATTGGGGCGGAGGGATAATCGGGCCGGTACCCCGACTCCAGACTCCAGAGCAATGGCAGTGGCGTGCCCCGAGCCCCAAGCGACACCGCTCCTCGCTGGCTGCCCGCCGCTGTGGCTGTCGTTGCCGGCAATCAGACAGGAATTTCCGCTTTCTCACTTGCACTCGACTCCTGCTCCACGACCTGCAATCACCAGAACAAACAAACACTTCCGATTAGACTTGTAGCGCTCCCATCCTCCGGCTCACCCTCCGCCTCATTTTCATGAGTTGCGTGCATGGGCGAGCATGAGCATGGTCCAATCTCCAATCACAGAAAATACCACGGGCTACTCAGAGACAGACATGGAAAAAACAAGGGGGAAAAACCCGGGAATAAGGCTAAAAGTACGACAGTAAAAATCCGAGACGCCTCGACTCAAAACTGAGTCATTTTCATTCGGAAAATATATTGAAAATTAAAAAATTTCGATGAAAAAACCTGAGGCCTACACGTTGGTGGCCGAGATCCGAGAAAAAAAGGTTTTTTCATCGATGTTTTTTTAGAATGTAATTTCCCACTGAACATGACTCAGTTTTGAGTTGGACGTCTCGGGTTTTGGGTGGTGTTTTTCCTCCTTGTTTTTTCCATGTTGCCGTGGTCTCAAGCTGCCTCATAGACAGAGCTGAAAGAGTAAAAGAGAGGTATCGATGAGGACCGTTTTTGGGCCCACGGGGAATTTTATCAACTCTACGGTTTTTTCTCATAGAATGTTTAAATTTTTCGGGATGCATCACACCGTAAACATTTTGGAGTAAAATTCTGTGCTGGAGTTTCTGTGCGCCTCGAGTGATATTATTGCAGAGCGGAATCTATTCTTCTTATGGAGTGACTTGCACCATTACGGAGCGGAATCTACTCTTTTTACGGAGTGTCATACACTGAAAAAAAGTTCTGTTGTCACAAACCAGAATTTCTGGTTGTACTTCGCAACCAGATTTTCCGGTTGATTTAGCCAGAATTACAGTTGACTCAACCAGAATTTGGTAGAGTCAACCAGACGTCTGGTTTAAGTCAACTGTAATTCTGGTTGAATCAACCGGAAAATCTGGTCGCGAAATACAACCAGAAATTCTGGTTTGTGACAACAGAACTTTTTTTCAGTGTACGCTTCTATGGTGGTTATTTCACTGCGCATTTGTATTATCCGGGGTTCTAATAAAATAACAGAAAGAAGAAGTTAGTTCTTCCACAGAGAAAAGATTTAAGCTCCAACCATTGTAAACATAAATTTAGTCCGTTTTTTATTGGATCCAGATCACGACTCATTTTTTCGGTAGTGGGCGAATCTAAATCCAATCATGAATGGACCCCAACTCATTACCAAGGAATAACCTGTGGACGCGGTAAATGACATTGTACCCGAGGTCATGATCAAACAGCTAATCTGTTACGGTCATGCGTATATGATGACGAGCCAAATGAAATGATTCGTTGGGTTTCTACCGGACAGAGATGTGGAGAAAGAGTTCCATTACGGGATCAAAGAAGAAATGAGGGAATGTCAGCTTCCTATGTACGGATTCGGGAAGTTAGGGGGTTGGACTGACGGCCTTGGGCACCAGAAAGTTTCGTGAAAGTTGCTTTCAATAATCCACCGGGTCTGCTTATTGCACTCCTACATCCCAACTTGAACATCTTTAACCTCAACCAGGCTGGTTGTGAAATGGTTCCAATGGAAAATGTGCACGGAAATTTGTAATTAGGTACTGCATTTGAGAGTGCTTAGTGAGCTACGTTCGCGGTATTTTGTATGACTTTTTTTCAGTTAAAGGAAATTGTGGAAAAATACATTTAAAAGTGGAAAAATCTGCCGTCTTGTGACGTTATCAGACGGCTTTTCCCATTAAAACACATGCATTTTAGAAAAGTAGGTGATTCGGTCATATCTCATCTATTAATTGTTTATTTTAGAAACCGAGGATGTTCTCGTGCTCAGTTCATTCTGTAGTTTCTTCTCAAACATGAAATGGTCACCTTTCGGCCAAAGTATCACAAGCGCCATGCGACGTTTAAAAATTTCCGCCGCCATTTTATTTTTTTACAGAGAAATTGTTGCTTGAATCTATTCGAAAATTTCACAGAATTTTATCAACAGCGCAAAGAAAATTCAATGAAATTTTTTTTAGCTTCGTTGAACATTTTTTTCTGTGAAAAAAATTTTGAAGCGGCGAGAATTTTTAAACGTCGCATGGTGCTTGTGATACTTTGGCCGAAAGGTGACGAAATACACACAATTTTAGACACCTGCAAATTATTCTCTCAACAAACTCGACATGAAAGAGTTTTTAAAGCGATTCCATCAAAGAAAATACTTCAAATCCGTTTTTTTAAGGACCTGAACTGCTCTGATAGAGAAGTCCATCCGAGAGTCTCGTTCTATTTTCAAAATAAGTGTTATGTTGACAAACGTCGGCCACGTCGGGCTTATCGTTCAAATTTGCATGCAGCGTAACAAGTGTTTTCTCGGCCTTGCACGCTGCGCTACAACCTTGAGAGGAATCAATGTCAAGAGCAAAAATTCCGACGAAAAAGCGATACGGAGCGGATTGGATACAATGCCCCCCGGAAAACGCATACAAAATATCCCAGTGATTCATGCCACTTTAGATTCGGGTTCAGGACCGCGTTTTAACAATGACGCAATGATATTTAATAAGATGCAAAATATCTCATCAACCCGAGTGCATTAGGATCATCCTCTTTGCGGGCTGATAAGACATATTTTACGCGGTACATCACCGCACTGTTAGAGGATTAAACGCGTTGGTGCAACGTAAATGCAGCATGCAAAAACTAATGACGACAATAGCCGAGAGAAAAGATAAGATGACCGTCTGGAAGGATGAACTTCCAAGCGAACAAAGGGACTGGACCGAGTTTTTAAAAGAGCCATCGACCTACATTTGAGGTAAAATTGGGCTGACAATAGTTTGTAGGATAACTAGACGGGTTATTTGAAGAAGAGCTTCACCGCTAAAGTTTCAGAAATTGAGTTTTTGACGGAATACTATTTTTGAGAGTGAATGAATTCTGCTCCCGAGCGATTCGACAAAAATTGCTCATTAAACGCCTTTTTCTAACATTTGAATAAGTCTGACTACTTCCATACTTTAGGTTTTTCATCGGTTTTAGTTTTGGTTGCACAAAACCGAACGTTGCTTTTATTCTCCTGAGTTCGCCTTCAAGAGGCTGGTAGGCAATGTGAGCGGCTCAGGAGCATTAATAGTTGCTTGCAGCAGTTGAGTATTTTGTCGGCCTCCATGGAGCGTGTTATTTGAGAAAGAGCGTAACTGTTAACTTCTCAGAGATTGAGTTTTATACAATACTTTGGTGGACGCATTACCGAGCGATTCTACCAAGATTCCTCGGTAACGTGTGTGTGTGTTTTTTTTGTTTTTTTTTGTTTTTTTTTGTTTTTGTTGTTTTTTTTTTTTTAAATACTTGAATATTTGCTTCCAAAGGGGACAGAGAGTGATTTTAGAGCCACTCCCACCGCTCCCAACGTAAGATGCTTCCTCATGATAAAGAGCAAACCAGTAGTAGGACAAACTATGATTTTTACAATTGAAATCGAACACGTATGCTGCTTAACTGTCATGTAATACTGCTAAAAAAGGGAGTACTGAGCAGTTTCGTAGAAGAAGGACGTATCCACCGAACTTTGAAATTTTTCAATTTCTTGCCCAATTTCTCCAACCTCTCGTTTAACCGTTTTATTTTTACAGATGGTACTAAGAAAAATGGTTGATTCTTCCAATAGAAATTTAATGATATTGTCGTAGAAATCGAGTATTTTCTTGTTTTCTCGAAACTTGACTTTTCGCGGTTACGCCCTTCCTTAAATAAGCCATTAAACTATGCTGCCATGCTAAGGAAACACGCCATAGGAGTCCTCAGTCGTTGCCATATTTCTTTCAGTAAAAAATTAATCTTCTAGGAAAATTGTTAACATGTTTCTCCAAAACTTTCAGAAAATTTAGTTCAGAATTTAAGCTAAAATGTCTGAAAATTTCAAGAAATATAAGCATGACTTTCCTCAAAAATGCATGTCTAATCCGGAGAAATTTGGTAATTCTCAAATATTCATATTTTCCTTGACACGGAAGTACACTTTCTCCTGTTGAAAATGAAGTTGGGATAAATAACCACGATTAGTTTGTAAAAATAGAGGCGAATCTACTAATTACATTGATTCAAATCGAGAGCAGTACTTTAACTTCATTTCAAAGAGTTAAGGCCTACTTAGCAGATCAGATTACTAAATCTAAAATTGCCTATTTTCTTCATATAGTTTCATTTTTCCACAAAAACCTAAGCAACATTCTGACGTGAAATTTTATTACCATTTTTTTAAATATTCAGGAAAACAGATATATTTTCAATGCGTTACTTCATTCACTTCTAAGTTTGAAAAATTAAATTAAAAATCCGATAAACACGAGATAATTACTAGGCGACGTGGAATGTAGTTAGGCTAATTGTGCTTAATGCCATCCAATTGGTCGGCATGACGGCAACCTTACCCTATAAGTGTCATTAATAGACTTGATGATGCAGCAGAAAATTTTGCGAGAAGTGAGGTAGAATGAAGATTAAGTTGCATCAATTTATTGCATACCTAATTTTGTCTATATCTCTAATTATTAAGGGCCAAATCCCGATTTTTTAGAGTATTTTGGGCAAGGAACCCGAGAAAATTGATATCACTGATGGAGGAATCGAGCTTCGAATAGCTTTTTCTCAATTTCGGCTGCACGAGGCCTCGTTTTTCTTTACTTAACATTTCGTCACCTTCCGGGCAAAGTATCACAAGCGCCATGCGACATTTCAAAATTTCCGCCGCCATTTTATTTTTTTACAGAGAAATTGTTGGTTGAATCTGTCTGAAAATTTCACCGAATTTTGCCGGCAGCACCAAGAAAATTCAGTGAAATTTTCGGACAGCTTTGTTGAACGATGCGATGATTCTTCAAAAAAATAAAATGGCGGCGACAATTTTTAAACGTCGCGTGGCGCTTGTGATACTTTACCCGGAAGGTGACGATTTCTGCTTCATGTGGCAGATGGATTTCAGAATCACAGATCAGTAGCTCAAACAAAGGAACTTTTATGACATGCTTGGGCGGCTTAAAAACTCAATA